ATATTGGTACAGAAATATGCATCCCATCCTGAAAGGCCATGTCGAGGTGGGATCCTTTCCTTGTCAGGGGGTCCGCCTGCCTTGTAGGGCTCGCGAGTCGGTTTCCTCTAATTCGACCTTCGACTTATCGTGGAATCCTCTTCTAACTATGCATCATCCGCTTCTTCCCGAGTTCCTCAATATGTATATTTGGAAAAAGCTATTCTTCAGTGGCTATGGAAGGTGCGAGGAAAGTTGCCCGCAAGATTGAGCAATCCTTTGACGGAAAAGTGCACGTCTTTCCCTACAGGTGTGTCTGCTCTTTCAATTGAAAGTTGTTGCCATCTAACTGCAATAATTTCAGCGTGTTCTACGTGTTTTATGAGCAGTACTCGACGATTATCTATGACGCCAGTACTCAAATTACTTTATCGTTAGCGGTAGTCTACGCGGTGACTTGTGTCCTTCTTGGCCTCGATCCTGTCAGTGCTTTTATTACTGGTAAGCTCTAAATTTCCAGTAATCAAGGGCGGGAGGATGTTGGACGTCGAAGTCATAGAGGCAGTGGACCTCCTCTTTCTTTTTGATGTGTTTCTATTCATTTTCTTGTTACTTCTTCTCTGTAGTATGAATGGGTGCGGGACTTTTGGCTCGTCCGGGATGGCACGCGGCGAGTTGCGCGGCGGCATGCGCGGCGATCCGGACGAACAAGGCTTCGCGGGTTCTTCAGTAGAATTCAACACGTCAAAGCGTGTGCAGATTGCGGATAAACTCCGCATGGTTCTGCTGTTTGAAAATCTTTCCGCTCGCGGAGATTTGGAAGCAGCAGTATCGGTGAGGAGATTTCAGCGCAAGGAGATGAGTGAGGACCTTCATGTAAATGTCACTACTACCATCAAAGCAAATAAGAGTCACTAAAAATTGGGAGTTTTGTTGAGGTTATTTAATGTCAACTATATATGTTTTGCTGATCGAGGCGCTCACGTCCAAAGGAGAAACATTCAAAACAAAACAACAAAACAGGGTCGATGGTAGGTGACACTAGGACTAAGCCCAGCAGAGGGGAGAACGCCAGGGAAAACACAACTTACCTCCCCCAGAGTCTCTTCCCTTCCTAACAAGGGAGGTCTTTCAGGGCAAGCCGCGCTTTTTCAAAACGGTTTTTGCATATTGTAGGGACGCATGTAGGGAACACAAAACCATGTTTCATTTTCGCTGAACGGTTTAGCAGTACCAAAAAAGAAGCATAAGGTACTGTTAATGGTTCGATCCCCCGTGGCGACTAAATTTTGCATTTGGGTTGGCGCCTACGGGTTGGTGCCAAATCGCGCTAAATGTCAAAATCAGATGTCAAATTCATCGTCAGGACCATTTTGAAGCCAACAAGTGGCCGCCAACCTTGATTGCAAAATTTAGTCGCCGCGGGGGATCGAACCATCAAGGGTATCATTCACCACTTTTTTGGTACTACTAAAACCGTTCAGCGAAAACGAAACATGGTTTTGTGGTCCATACATGCGTCCCTACAATATGCAAGAAACCGTTTCCAAAAAGCGCGGCTTGCCCTGAAAGACCTCCCTTGTAAGGTATCCAGTGCACAGTTATTG